CTACCTGGATTCTTCCTCTTGGAATTTTTTTCTGAAAATATACATGTATGGGTATTTATATATTTTGCATATGTATGTATATTTTCCACTAATATTATCTATCTATCTATCTATCTATATATATATATATATATATATATATATATATATTTATTCATTTTTATCTTTGTATATTTGCTCGCTTGCTATATTTTAATAAGTGGTTAGTATTTGTTTCATGACACTTTCAGTCTTAAATATTTATTGCTTGTGGTATCTGATTGTCTAGGTCAATGTATGTGGATGTGTGTCCATGTATTTATCGGTGTCTATGAGTATGGAAAATGCATTCACTTTTAATTGTGTATGTATGCATGTGTTTGTTCCCCCCCCCCTTTTTTTATAAAGGGCCGTGGAGATATTCCCTGTCTCGTCACTTTTTTTGTGTATATATATCTAAATATGTCTGGGTGCTTATGTATTATAATCTGAGTGTTTGTGTTGTTTTACGCGTGAGGTTAGGACCACATTCACACACTTGGGATTAAAATGTATTCATATTGTCAGAGGATCGGGTGATATATTAGCGTCTATTCTAACGTAATTTCAATGAAGAAATAAATTGTATAACATATGTATTTCTTCTTTTCTCCTCAGTAATTTTATAATTTTAAACTTAATAGTGATTAAATTTGGATTTTATAATTGGTAATTTTTACTTTAAATTTTAATATCAAATTTTATCATATAATTTAATAATGATTGGTTAGAATAAATTCTTTTTTAATATTACCCCTATTTTAAAGATCTGAATAGCTATTATAACATGACTTCGTTGTCAAGCTTTTTCAATTTTCCTATACTTTTGTATTTTGATTGGTAATTCTAGCTTTTGTAACAACGTTTTCCCCTTGCGAAGGATCGTTAATTAATTTGAAACTTTTAAAACCATTTATTTTACATTCAACATCATCACTTGATAAGACACCGGGGGTGTTGAAACAAAATGGCTATTTTTGTAGTGATTTTATAACATATTTATGTTATAATTTTTTTAAATAAATAATTATATATATATATATATATATATATATATATATATATATATATATATATATATATAAGCGATTAGTAGTTTTCTTAATATATTAGGATTATTTTAATATCTAATCCTAAAATATATATATATATATATATATATATATATATATATATATATATATATATATGATTCTGTTCATTTATCTCTAAATATCCATGTAGCAGGTTTGTTCACTTTTCAGTGCAAATAATATACACAGTTTTTAAAGTCCCTTCCTTTTAAATTACAGGTGCAAGATAATCATTGACACACAACACCATCTATCGGTTAGATATAAAACCAAGGGAAATCAGTATAAAACAAAGATGATAAGTATACAATGAAACACACTATTTTCTTTTTAACAAATCAGTAATCAAATATTAGAATGGGAGCTCGAAGCTGAAACCAAACTTGTAATCGATGAATATCATCAAAATGTTTTCTCATGACAAATAATCTTTACTTTATTACCAACTATATCTTCTAGGGATATTGCGTTTAAATCGTGAAAGGATACGAGCTGCCCGCCAGCAAATGTTTCCATCAAAATCTACCAGCTCCTCTCGCCATATTTCTTGTGCAAAGTATATTGCGACCGCCATTTTGTTTAAATGACAATAGCGGTAAACTTTATTCGACGCCATCTTGAATGTTCTCTTAACATTGATTACTTTATAATGACCATTTATCCGCTGAGTTCTAAGCTCGGCCGCGCCATTTCCGCGCTACAGATTGAAAGTGGGTCGGCACTGACGTTAAATGGAAACATAATTTTGATTTATCATTTAGGTTTTCGGGCAGGAATGTCATCTTTCGGGAAATTAGAGTGTTTCAGTAATTCGCTGGAACCACGAAAGAGATGTATGTCTTGTGGAACGGTAATGTCGGCGACAATACCCGTGTGGAATAGGCGTTGAAATGAAGGATCATCAATCAGATGTGGCATGATGGTGGATATCTTTGATTGAGTGTATAGTTTTGTGAATGCGCAAATGTTTTAAATACATAACTATAAAAATGAGATAGGTATATACACCGATAGATAGATGAGACTGATGCACATATATCTAAATAAAGAGAAACAAAGAAGCTGTGTATGCTTATATATACTTTGCATTGCATATCTTTATCTTTTCCCTTACTTCTACGTAATATAAAGGGCTTATCTCTAAAAGAATGTTTAAATTTGACGATGTCTGCAGATGTTTATGATAGCGCTAGTGTGTACCTATATTTCTATATAAAGGGAAAATGTGGACATGTTTAAAAATGTACGTTATTGTATGTTTGCTTTTGTACATATCTTTGTGTAACTCTTTAAGTATGTGGGTGCAACTGCTCCCATTTGAATATGTTCCTTATTTCTGTATGTGGAATAGAGGAAGAGATAGAAACACGAATTAATAAATATATTTTTGATTCATGTCCACTTCTTTCTATATTTTGTAAACTGCTTGAATACGCCTTATTGATGTTATTTGGATGGCCATATTTCTAGTCTTTATGCCTTTCTCAGAATCGCTAATCCTTGGGTGCGTAAAAATAGGTTATGTGCAATTGTCTATCTGGCTTTATTTTTATGCTTTTATTAATGGCCGCATTTTCGCGGGAAAATATATGTTCGTAATAAGTCATCTGCTGCTCCGAATTATTTAAACTAATAAGTAAGTAAACTGAACTAAAAAAAGGATATATTATCTTTATTATGACCATTTCAACTTACTGGCTCTCCACTTAAAATGTACTAAAACTCCAAAGAAAAATAAAAGGACTATTATCTAGCAAGAAAATAAAATAAAAAATGAAAGAAAACTGAACAATCAATATTTTTAAAAACGTTCCAATATTATTTAAAAAAAGAAACCATATATATATATATATATATATATATATATATAATTCGCAGACAGTACTGTTGCGCTGTATCACAGCTTTTTAGTGCCACTAGACATCCAAATGCCTCAAGCTAGGTTCGAAACCCAACAGATTTGCTGTCAGTCAGATCTTATACATTCAACGGTGCTCAATTGAGATATATATATATATATATATAAAACGTCATATAACAACGCACTAAAGAAAAGCCGATACAGGCAACAGCTAGAATACACACCGCCACGACTAAAACGGAAAAACAGAAATGTTTTTAAAGGAAACCCAAGGTTACAAACTAATATCCATACAGCTGAATATGTTAGCTCTATCACAGATCTTATGCCCTTTTCACTAAGTACTCCGCATATATATGTATATAAATCAAATAAAATGAATTATTGCATTTTGTTTTTATTGTACGTGTATGAATATAGTTTGCCAATAATAATGGCTTTGATTATTAGGCAAAATATAAAGGAAGCGGTAATATACTTTAAACTTTAAAGCGAAAGTTTTCATATTAAAATGTAATAAAAATGAAAAGAAAATGTTAAACTACTTTTTGTTGTTTTTAAGCAATTCAATGCATCGATATCATTTGAACAAATAAACAGAAGATACTAACTGAAATAATTATAAAGATTTTAAACAAAAAATATAATTTATTATTTCTAATATCTCACCTGATGGTCATCCTGCAGAATGGAAGTGGTGTGGTCTTGTTAGGGCCAGAAATAAAGGCACAATAAATGAATTGAGTTAAAAAAATATATTAACAGAAACAGTAATACATACATATACAAACGAAAGTGTTACAGCAAGAATGTTTAGTCCGACTGTCAGGGCTGACTGCTGGAATTCTCACCCTCCAAAAGGCAGTACCTGCTCCTATTTATAGCTGGGAGAGTCCATGCGTGCGTAGGTAAATTGCCATAACAGGTAGTGTAATGACTATTCCATATATTCCTCCGGTTCTATTCACGTCAAGGTTTTGTCAATTTTGTATATCTATGTAATAGTATATCTATGCAATTGTCAATTTCGTATCTCTATGCTATCAATTGATAGAAATTGTAACGTTAGAATGTAAAAAGAAAGAAATAAGCAGTGTAATATTATAAGATTTTTTTACAATAGTGTTCACCCTGTACAGGGCGCGAAAGTCACTCGAGGTAGAGGGTTATAGAGTAAGAGGCACAGTTTATGTGGATATGTAAGAAAGATAACAGCTAGACTTGAACAAATTAAGATTGCAGTGATCGGGGATGGATCCTCTTGAGAGTCGGTTCCACAAAGCAACGTTTCGTGAAAAAAAGCTGCTGCTCGAGTGGGAGTTAAATCTCAATAATGGAATACGAAAGGAATGAGGCTAGAACTAGAACTAAGGAATGTAGTTCTCATGGAAGAATCGATAGAGCAGCGATAGGCTTACGACGTTTTGTCTGTGAGAACGTTGTTGTACGGTGGAAAATAATTTGTCACCCAGAAGAACCTGGAGACGCTTTTGGACTCTAACGAAACTGGAAAGTGAACACTGGTCAGCTCCTGCCATATATGATAACAGTACTCCATTTTAAGACTGATCTGGCTCTTGTAAAGGTCGGGAATACCATCATGTATTTACTGGAACGGTACTGAAATTTTCCCAACATCTTCATCAATGGAGCGTATGTATGAGTTCCACTTGAGGTCTAGGTTAAGTTCCAATAGGCTATCAAAGCGCAGGACCAACGTGAGCGAACATCCGTTCATTGGGATTACTCATAATTCTGGGTACAATCGGCGGTGATTTTGAAAAATTAATGTACAAAATCGCTTAAAATGAAGATAATCAGTAAAATTTAAAAGAAAGATTTCTTTGGAGCTTTAATTACATAAGACTGTACAGATTTCATTAAATATAAAACATCGTTGTCTGTAGTCTGTCCATATTAGCATCAGATGTGCCGATTGCAGTCAATGGGAGCGTCACGATAAAGCAACACAAATGGTTAGCTAATGCTTATCAAAGGTAATCAGATGGACAAGCGAAGGTAGTCAGCTATGAGATGGCTTTTCTATTATGGTCCGTCGTCTTTCGTCAATCCAACAGCTCGCGTACCAGACTTGCATCTCTCTCTCTCTCTCTCTCTCTCTCTCTCTCTCTCTCTCTCTCTCTCTCTCTCTAACTTCTCTGCCTTTGTGTCGTTGTCAGCCACTCTCACTCCCTCGTAGATTAATTAAAGGGTTCAGAATTCTTTGTATGTTATTCAGATCGACATACACTTGACGAAGACCGGGGGACACAAAGACCGAAACGTCGTGATAACAACAAAGATGGAGATAATAATCCGAATATAAATAGTGTAAAGACTTGTGTTTATTGAATTACAATACGCTGGCTATATTTTTTCTTTTCTATTTTGTTAAAACATGTCACCCCAAGCAAGGCGGGTGTGTCACTAGTACGCAAGGGGGTTACAGAGAGTGAAAGTAAAAGAAAAGACTGGGTATAGGGGGGGGATTGAGGAAAGGATAAAAAGAAGAACGGAGATCAAGGCATCAGAAGATGACGATTGACATTGCATTTAAATTTTTGAAGATTTTAGTTATCAGAGAATCAAGTAAGTAGAAGGGAGTTCCACTGTCGGGAAGATCGAAAGAAGAAGCTGTTGGAGTAGAAGTGGCGGTTACATTGAAAGACAGAGGGAAGCCGCATCACGTCTGTGAGAAAATGACTGGAGTCGAGATGCCAAGTCAGAACAGATCACATTGCAAAGCTGGTTTTGGATTTTGTCGAGAACCTAGAGATGAACAGCAGGAACGCCAGACCATATATGGCAACTGTATTCAATGAACGAATGGTAAATTTGCAGATGTGTAGAATGGAGTCAAAACCTTCTGGCATGACACAGAGAACCAACTTTCCTTGCAAACTCTATTGAACTTTTTGTTTAAGTCTGCTTCAGTTTATTTATTTAATAATTAGTTATGAATTAAAAAAAAATTACTGTAGATGTATTCAAGTTTAAAAATCCAGCAACATTTTCTGTTGCTATTAAAGTTGTAAAATACCTCTATAAAGTAATCCATATAAATGTATATAGACATATATGGAAAAGAATTAAAATTTTCAATAATATATGAATATTATTTGGAATGGCCCTTTTCAGTTGGAGTTGGGGAATGGTATTCTGGCTTATGATGTAATAGGTGCATTAAACAAACATGGTAGAGAACGACAAGTCTAAAATATTTGTACCTGTAAAAATGATAATTTAACTTTATTTTAGTGAGATTCTTCGCGAGATATAAAATACACATTGCTTAAATTTAGGAAATAAGCAGCGACATATAGATGATGGATTTCTTATGCAAACGTTAACGATGCAATAGGTATAACCATCTTTTTAATCATTTCACCTCAAACAAGACAATAAAGCCACCAAGACACAAAGAAGAAGAAAAAACATTATTAAGGAGCGAGAACAATAAAAGGGGATAGCAATTGACATTTCATTTAAATTTTTGAAGATCAAATTTGGCTGGAAAGCAAGAAGCCAGAAGAGAGCTCCATAAGCAAGAAGTGCGATAAAAGATACTGTTAGAATAGAACTTACGGTTAAATCTAGCCAATTCAACTATAAATTGATGAGACCTTGCAGTCAATCTAGTATTGTCCTTAAATTCATAAAGTCTAGATACTATAGAGAAAAATTAATCGGAACAATTGCCATGAAAGTCTTTATAGAAAAGGCAGAAGGAAGCTACATTATGGCGGTGTGAAAGTGACTGAAGCTGAGATGCCAGGTCAGGACCAATAACATTGTGGATTTTTCTTTGTAACTTATAAATATGTAAGATAGATTCTGGAGAAAATGATTGCCTAGCAAAACATAGTGAACTAACTTTCCTAAGAGCAGACCTAGCAGTTGATTCAATTATAATCTTACCACCTCATGTCAGCAGGAAACTTTAGTCCTAGAAGGCGCAACAAGTCAATTTCCTGGAGGTTACCTTCGGCGATGCTGATGGAAGGCAAAAAGGTTTCACTCAGATGATTAATAAAGAGCAGTTTCGTTTTGGAGCCTTTCATTGCCAAAGTTAACAGTAGATTATTAGGTTATTTTTTAGATCAGCTGCTAATTTGACCCTATCGAACCGATCAGATATCTGCTGTGAAAATCTATATTTATTTTCTGGGTTAACTTATTGTGTGATCATTCTGATGTTTTCTTCTGTTTAACGATCTATCTTTTGGTTTTCTTATGTAAGGCATTTGTTTTTGCTTTGTAGGAGTTTTCTTTTGCAAAACTGCTTTTTTTCTGTCATAGGACATTACTCTTTATTTCTGTTATATTACATTTCTTTCGTTTTTCTCTTGTAAAATTTCGTCCGTTTTTCTCATAAAAAATATTTTTTTTATCTGTTGTAAAACATTTTGTTTTTCTTTTGTAAATCTGTTCTTTTGTCTCCAGTAAGAACGCTCGGAAATCTTTAAGCTTCGTATTCGAAAAAAGAAACGGTATGACAAAAGGACGGTTTTTCCCTTGACACCGCTATTAGCTTAAATACCTTTATTCCCTCGGTAATGTTTATTGTTTTAAAAATCGATTATTAGAATTGTAATAAAACCTAAATATATGAAAGTTAATTTATACATTGTGTTTCTTTTGGAGAATTAACAACAAAAATAAAAAACAAAATTTAGATTGTTTATTTCCACTATTTATTATACTATTTATTGAAATGGTTGGTAAAACATTGGCTAACTGCCAATCGATTCGAACTTTATAAAACTGTAAATAATAAAGATTTCCTTATAGTTAATTCACATATTTTAACAATTTAGTAAATGTTTATAAATTTATGTATAAAAATTGTTTGCATATTTATTTCTTTATAAATTGGTAAATGATAAATATTGCATTGTATTAATTTTAATACAATTATATTTTTTTTAGAATATTAAATATAAAATTACGTAAAAACTTCATAAATAATGTTTAATATTTCTGTTATAAATTGTCAAGAACAAAAATGTATGAATTTACTTTCATCACATGCTTAGGTTTTATAAAAAAAAATTTTAATTTTTAAATTTCTTTTAAAAAAAACAAACATTGCTGAAGGAATGAAAGTAATTAAAATAATAGCGATATCAAGGAAAAAAGCGTCCTTTTTAAACACCGTTTTCTTTTTGCGGTTAAAGATTGCCGAAATTTATTCTGTTTTCTCTGATATGAGATCTTTCTCTTGTTTTAATATTGTAGAACCTTTTGTTTTCTGTCGTAAGAAAAACTTTTACTGTTGTACGGCATCTGTGAAAAATTTGGAAAAGAATTCTATTCTTTTTGTAGTAAATTGTTTTGCTTTTAACGACTTTCTTTGGTTTTTTGTTTGTTTATTTTCGTTATAAGTTTATTATTCTTTATTGCAATGCCAGACTCTCTTCCTTACTTCTTTGACGTACGAATTTTTATTTTTCTGTTGTACGATATTTTGTTTTCATGTTTTAAGTTGATTGCTTTCAGTTTTTCATTTAACAAATTTTCTAATGATTTCTCTTGTAAGACATTTTGCAGAATCTAACATTTTCGGTTGAAAATGTTGTTTTCCTACGATGATATTTTTTTTTATCTTGTTTTGTGTTTCTGTTGTATAATCTTACCTTTTTTTTCTATTTTAAATTTGTTTTGTTTTTCATTTGTAAAATGTAAGTTCATTCAGGCGTTGTATTGTTGAAAAATCATTCTTTTATCTTTCTTTCGTGAAACATACTTTTTTCATTTTAAGAGCATTCTTCATATTCCCGTTCTAAAACCTCTCCTTCTTATTTTTTCTTTTTTAAAACCATCATTTTCATTTCCTGCTCTGAGATATTTTTCTTCTTTTTTGATATCATCTTTTAGTTTTCCTGTTCTAAGAAAATTTCTATGTTTTTGTTTTTCTCTTCAAATATATTTATATTACTTTTCTATTTTGAAAATATACATTGCTTTTGAGACATTTTTTAAACAATTATATTGTTTTCTTGTTTATTTTGTTTTCCTAAGGGATTTATTCATTTTCTGTTTGAGATCGTTCTTTTATTTTCCAGTTGAAAGAAATTTCTTTATTTTCCGTCTTAAGACCGTTCTTTCATTTTCCTATTTTGAGACATGTCTGTTTTTTTCTGTCTTAAAACCGATCTTTTATTTTACTGTTTTAAGAAATTTCTGTTCTTTTTATATCTTAAGACCGCTCTTTCCTTTACCTGTTCTGAGAAATCACTTTTCTTTTTTTTATCATAAGACCATTATTTTATTTTTCTGTTCTAAGAAATTTCTTTTCTTTTTCTCTCTTAAAACCTCTTTTTATTTTCTTGTTCGAGGAAATTTTATTTCTTTTTCTGTTTTAAGACTATTCTTTTATATATTTTTTCTGAGATGTTTCTTTAATTTTTCAGTCTTAAAACCGTTCATTTTTTCCCTGTTCTAAGATATTTCTTTTCTTTTTTGTCTTAACATCATTCTTTTATTTTCCTGCTCTAAGAAATATCTTTCCTTTTTCTGTTTTAACGCCGTTTTTCTCTTTTCATATTCTGAGTCATTTCTGTTTTTTCGGTATTAAGCCCGTGCATTTCTTTTCCTATTTAAAACATTTCTCTTCTTTTGCTGTCTTAAGACGTTCATTTCTTTTCCCTGTCCTAAGAAATTACTTTTGTTTTAAATCCGTCCTTTTCTTTTCCTATTTCTTTAATTTTCAGTCTTAAGACCGTTCTTTTCCCTGTTCTGGGTCATTTCTGTATTTTCTGTTGTAAGACCGTTCTTTTATTTTCCTATTTTAAGAAATTTATGTTCTTTTTCTGTCTTACGATTCTTCTTTTATTTTCCTGTTCTAAAACCTTTTTTTTCTGTTTTAAGACATTTCTTTTATTTTGCTGTTCTAAGAATTTTTTTTCTGTTTCTCTTTTAAGACCTTTATGTTCTTTTTGTGTTTTAAGATCATTCTTTTAATTTCTTGCTCTTAAACTTTTTTTTCTGTTTTATGATCTTTCTTTTATTTTGCTGTCCTAAAAAATTTATTCTTTCTCTGTTTTAAGATACTTCTTTTATTTTCCTGTTCTTAAACATTTCTTTTTTTCATGCTTTAAGACCTTTCTTTTATTTTGCTGTCCTACCATTTTTTTTTCTTTTTCTGTTTTAAAACCTTTATGTTCTTTTTCTGTGTTAAGATACTTCTTCTATTTTCCTGTTCTTAAACATTACTTTTTTATGTTTAAAACCTTTCTTTTATTTTGCTGTCCTAAAAGTTTTTTTTTAATTTTTCTGTTTTAAGACCTTTATGTTCTTTTTATGTCTTAAGATACTTCTTTTATTTTCCAGTTCTTAAACATTTCTTTTTTTCATGTTTTAAGACCTTTCTTTTATTTTGCTGACCAAATTTTTTTTCTTTTTCTGTTTTAAGACCATTATGTTCTTTTTCTGCGTTAAGATACTTCTTTTATTTTCCTGTTCTTAAACATTTTTTTTCATATTTTAAGAACTTTCTTTATTTTGCTGTCCTAACAATTTTTCTACTTTTTCTGTTTTAAGAACTTTATGTTCTTTTTCTGTGTTAAGATACTTCTTTTATTTTCCTGTTCTTAAAGATTTCTTTTTTTTCATGTTTTAAGACCTTTCTTTTATTTTGCTTTCCTAACAATTTTTCTACTTTTTCTGTTTTAAGACCATTATGTTATTTTACTGTCCTAAGAATATTTTTCTTTTCTGTTTTAGGACCTTTATGATCTTTCTCCGTCTTAAGAATGTTCTTTTATTTTCCCGTTCGAAGAAATTTCTTTACTTTTTCTGTTTTACGTCTGTTCATTTATAACCTTATTCTGCGATATGTGTTTTCTTTTTCTGTCTTAAGATCATTTTTGTATTTTCCTAATGGGAAACATTTTTTTGTTTCACTGTTTGAAGACCGTTCTTTTCTTTCACTCTTTTAAGAAATATCTTTACTTATGATTCTTCTTCTATTTTCCTGTTGTAAGAATTTTTCTTTCTTTTTCTGTTTTAAGAACCTGCTTTTATTTTATTAATCTGGGACATTTCTTCCCTTTGCTGTTTGAACAACTTTCTATTATTTTTCTATTTAAAGAAATTTCTGTTCTTTTTCTCTCTTAAGACCATTCTTTCCTTATAGTTTTATAAGAATTTTCTTTTCAATTTCTTTCTTAAGCCCGTTCCTTCATTTTCCTAATCTGAGACATTTCTTTCTTTTGCTGTCTCATGACCGTTCTTTTATTTTCCTATTTTAAGAAACTTCTCTTTTTCTCTCTTAAGACCGTTCATTCCTTTCCGTATTCTAAAGAATACTTTTGTTTTTCTGTCTTAACATCGTTCTTTTATTTTCCTATTCTAAGAATTCTTTTCTGTCTTAAGACCGTTCTTTTATTTTGCTATACTAAGAATTTTTTCTCTTTTAAAACCCTTCTTTTATTTTATTATGTAAGAAATTTTTGTTCTTTTTCTGTCTTAAGACCGTTCTTTTTATCCCTGTTCTAAGAAATTTCTTTTCCTTTGATGTTTTGAGACCGTTCTTTTATCTTCCTATTCTGAGAAATTCCTTTTTTTTTCTGTTTTAAGATAGTTCTTTACTTTTCCTATTCTGAGACATTTCTTTCTTTTGCTGTCTTACGACAGTTTTTTTTTTATTTTTCCATTTTAAGTAATTTCTGTTTATTTCTTTTTTTCTATCTTTTCTGTTCTTTCCTTTGCTTGTTCAAAGAAATTTCTGTTCTTTTTCTGTCTTATGACCGTTCTTTTATTTTCCTATTTTTTAGAGATTTTTTTTTTTCTGTCTTAAGACCCTTCTTTTATTTTCTCATTTATAGAAATTTCTGGTCTTTTTTCTATCGTAAGTCCGTTCTTTCCTTTCCCTGTTTCTTTTCTTTTTCTCTCTTCCAATCATTTTTTTTTCCTGTTCTGAGATATTTCTTTTCCTTTTCGGTCTTAAAACCATTCTTTTTTTCCAGTTCTAAGATATTTCATTTCTTTTTTTGTCTTAAGACGGTTCATTTATTTTCCTCTTCTAAGACAGTTCCTTTTTTCTAATATCGCTTATTGATAGAAATTCAGTGCCTCATTACTTTACTCATCCAATTTTGTCGCTGACTTTTAAAGAATTAAAACAAATTGTTATCTGGAAATTATTTTGTTTTGTTTTTTTGTTCTTTTTTTGTTTTTTTCGAGTTTGTCATATTTTTTCTAAATACTGTTGATATATAAAATTATACAAAATCATATATAACGTTATATATATATATATATATATATATATATATATATATATATATATATATATAGCAAAAAAACACAAAATAAAATTTTAAATAAATACTTAAACCAGAATAACAACAAAATAGTGATCCAGAAATGAGAATAAATAATAGTAAAGAAAAATTATGTAACTGTAGGAATTTGTCCATTCAATAATAAATGTCTCACAGAATTTATAGTTTACCAATTTACTATCTCATCAATTGAGAATCCTAATATTAAAAAATTTTACGTTGGTAGCACTAAGAATAATTTTAAATTAAGGTGGAACCAACATCTGTCTTCCTTCAAAAATAATATGTATCGTAACCAAAGATCCCTATCCAAAAATTTTGGCATTTAAAAGAAACAAATAAAACACCCACAATAAAATGGAAATTATTTTTTAAAAAACGAGAACTTGTATGATGACCTATGTCCTTTATGCCTACATGTAAAATTATATGTTATTATGTTTCTAAAAATAAAGATTTAATAAATCAAAGAAAAGAAATAACTGTTTTTTGTAGAAATTGCATTATGCTTACTTCAAAACATAATTAATTTAAAAAATTTCATAATTATATATCTATTATAAGAAAGTAAAAAATGCGTTATTAAATTCCAAAATTTTACATCTTAATTTTAACATATACCGTATCTAGTATACTAATAAATATAATAAATATAGTATTTTAGATCTTTATAAATAAAAATATAAATATATATATATGACTTAATCATATTTGAAGCCTCTTTACGACAATCCCAATGTATTCTATAAAAAAATAAATAAAAATGCCAATGTACTGTAGTCTATCATATGTATGTCCTTGAAAACAGACATGACGACACGTCCTCATATAAGGAAGCCATTATCGACGGGCAGAAATTAAAAAACCCACACGTAACCCTTAACCTATATTTACACTTTGCCATCTTAAATTAGACTTGTATCCTGATTCGTCAAAAAAGGCAACACCTTTTAAAATTTTGTAAACCCCTTCCCCCTCCAACTTAAACTATATAATACTAAATGGTATTAAAAAAAAAGTAAATTATTTTTTCGGAAGTTATTCAACATCGTTGATAATGGAACAAATTTAATTTTAAGTATAGTTTTTAGTTCCGAAACATGTTAATTTCTGTGTCGCGATGAATACATATTTTTAAATAATATATATATATATATATATATATATATATATATATATATATAATATTTTTGTTTAAAAATATGATCCTTCGCTACATAAGAGTTCTCATGTTTCAAAAACGAGAGCCGAAACCATCCAAATAATTATTAAAATTAAGTTGAATTGAGGTGTTTAGTCCCGTTTCATCTTCAAGCGAAATTTTAGGAATAAGCTATCTCTCGGTTTACGTGTGTTTTTAGGCATGGTCTGTTACAAAATTCGTTATTGTGGGAGTGGCTAGACTATTTTTCTTCGTTAAGTGGTCAGAGAGTTAATTCTTATCAATAGATTCATCATCTTCTGAGAGGTTTTGCTAAGGTTGGGTAGGTATCTATTTCAAGGCTAATGTTTGCGGTCACCCTTTAGTTGGTTCCCAGTGAGGGATATTTTTATGGCGCGCCTACAAGTCGTTATGTGTCGGGACAATTGTCTTTTATTATTGTCCATCTGATTATCTATTTATTTATTTGTTTATTCAAGTGGGTGTTTTATATACAAATCGTATTGCACTGAATTTCAATTTGTTTTTTTTGTTTGTTTTTTTTTGTTTTTTGACGACTACAAAAAGGGTTTTTCCTTTTTAATGATTTGGCTAAGCTTTTAAGACTTTTATTTAGCTATGGGGTTTTTTTATGATAATTATTTAATGCGAAAGTTTGTTGATGTCGGCAAAAAACTGTTAACTCTTGCCTATGGTTTAATAATTTTTCATTATTCAGAAATTTAATGATGTGTAGTTTTTCCTGTAGGCATAAAGGGCATGGGTCATCCCAGGTTTTACAAGTTCTTGTTTTATTTAGTATTTTCCATTTTACTTTTGGTGTTTTATTCGTTTCTTTTAGGTGTCAGAAATATTGGGATAGAGATGTCTGATTTCTATTTTGAATATTGTTGAAGGAGCTCTTGTGTTGCCTCCATCTAATTTTAAAATTATTCTTCGTTGAGCCTATGTATATCCTATCAGTGTTAGGACTCTCAATGGATGAGATAGTGCATTGGTAAACCACGGATTTTGTGAGGCATTTATTTTCCAACGGGCAGTTTTTAGGGTTTCTACAATCACATAATTTTTCGTTATTTTTATCTAATTTTAGTTTATGAGTTTTATTACTGTTTTGGTATGCGTGTTTTTCTAGGATTTTCTTATTGTGTCTTTTTATGATTCTTTCTATGTTTTCAGTGCAGCTGTAACTCAATTTTAAGGTGTTTTTGTTGAAGATGTCGCTAAGTTTGAAAGTGCTTTTCAATTAAAGCTAGGAACTTATGGCCTAGTTTGGTGCTGACCAGTTGGTTGTACGGAGGGGTATACCAGATGATCTTTCTTTTCCTGTTTTTCTTATTATTGATACTATCGTTTCTATAGGTTATGTCAGCGTTTTTGTATCCGCTATTTTTCAGGGCTGTGTTATAAAAACTACTGTGTTGTTGGAATATTTCCTTATTTGCTGAGTTCATACTGATTCTTTTCTCTATTGATGTGGGTATATGCTTAATTATAGATGGAGGGTGGTTTAACTTAGCACCACATACAGGGGATTAGTATTAGGTTTTCTGTAAGGTAGGTGAACGGTGTTCGTTAAGTCTAGGGTTACGTCTAGGAAATTTACTCTTTTTAATTTAGTGTTGACTATTGTTTTTAAATCTAGTTTCCTGAATTCTTTATAAATTATCTTTCTAATTTTCTCTGTTTTAAAATTCGTGGAGCTCCTCACTACCATGAGCCCGTCATCTCTGTATAGTCCGATGTCCCCAATGTCTAGTTCACGGTGGGCGGTTAGATTGTACAGTATAAATAGACCGACAAGGTCCGAAGATTCAGCAGAGTCTAGAGATCCCATGGTGATGTCAAAGTTGTCATTGGTGTTTTTAATCCACTGGTCCCCATTATGGATGAGGACATATTTCTTTGCACTGAGAATTATGTTTGTTTCTTCCTTAGTTAAATCGGAATATACTGTAGCAAACTCCAGGGCAGTCGTGAAGAGGTCTTTTGATATTGACTGGTAGTAATCGATAATATCGAACTGAATTAGGGTGCAGTCGGGCTTATTGTCGATGTTGGTAAACCAGTTTATGACTTCTTTGGTGTTAATCTAGAGTTAATCCATACCTGTGCACTTATATATATATATATATATATATATAAAGATATAAGAAATATAGTATTACGGTGTGCTATAATTATGGGATAAAGTGCTCAATATCAGAGATAGAGCGTGTATATATATATATATATATATATATATATATATATATATATATTAAAAATGTTTTACAGTCTATGAGCTTTCTTTATATTATACAGTAACAGATATGATCAGTGCTGTTTCTTAAAAGAAATAACAACAAAAACAGAAAATAATAATGTTTATATTTATGAATTCTTAATAAAGTGTTTGATCCGACTATGCCACAAGAGATCACAAAGAGGAAAAGTATTATGGTAGTAGTAGCAGTAGTAGTAGTAGAGATATACCACCGATTTTCAAATATGCCAACGAATGGTCCGACAACCTTTTAATCCGTACAAAATTACGAAGAGCAGACAATTGAAATGAAAGATCAGGATCAGACAATTCCCACTGATCTTCGTTTAAGCATATTCAAATTTTCTTTAACAAATCCTAAAATTTTAAAAATATAAGATGTGGATATTTAATTGGTCAGAGGTGGATTATTGAATTAGGACAATGTGATCTTTCTTAGCTAATCCGGTAGTGTATAAAAATAACGAACCCGGAAAATCGATGGTTTACACTGTTATAGTAGTAGTCGTCGTCTTCGTAGTAGTAAAGATAATATTAAACACAATGTTTTCTGGATACTTCTATATTTTAAAAAAAATTATCGTCTGGATTTTTTCTACAAAAATATCGGATTAGGAAGAAGTAATATATATGGAAACATTTGATATTCAATGACCGAGTAGCCAGTACTGCTATCGGTTGAGATTTATAAAATCGTTCTCTTTAAACATTTTTAGGACAACGGGTTTCTAAAGCGAGTAGCTGTTATCGCTCTTGCCAGTGTTGGGGGTTTCATTCTTAACCTTTTATTCGAAGTAATGGGAAAAACACTTATTCAAATCAGTGTCCTTAGAAATCAAGGACTTAACAGGCTGTAAATAAAGGTTTTCTGCAATGACCTAATATAAAAATACACACTGAATATTTAAAGAAAGAATATACAGTAAAGTGTGCATTTCTGTGTAACATGTTAATCTTACTATTATTATAATAGTACAATTCACACTAGATAACTCTGGACTTAACTAAATTTGATATGTACCAGTAAAAAACGAAATTAAAGCATGAGCAATAATGGGTTAAATAAATTTTATAAAATTCACTGTTTAAAGTGATAAATTATAAACAATTGTTTGGAACAAACTGACTGAAAATTATGACGAGTAAATATAAGCCAGTGGTTATTGTATGTATGAATTAACCAAAAGCTTTCGATCGAGTACTTCCGGTTATTTACAAGTACTTCCGGTTATTCACGAGAGCCATGATCTTGACAAATGAAAGTAATGTTAATTATTTTTTACAATTCAATTTTTATATAACCGCATTCTGGTGTTTGTGCGGCATGATGACATCACTGACGGATCTCGATGTTAAAGCAATTCTCATCTAGCTAGAAATATCGTTCCAATTGTTAAATATCAAAATCCAGGTTTCCTAATGGAAGAACAACTTATTTAGTTTTGGGTTCTTTTTATTCAGCAGTTTCCTTCGTTTTTTTTTGGGGGGGGGTTATGATAATCAATAAAGATCAGAAGTAATGCAACATCTAAATTTATAAAATTAATATTAAACCAAATTCCACAAAGATTGATTTGAAATATCACGGATTTTTTTTTCTCGTTCCTAAATTATAAACTCTTTTTTTTTTCGATTCTTTGTCAGTCTTTCTTTTTAGGCTGTAAATTCCTACATATATATATATATATTGCAATGTTTCTTTTTTTCATTCGCATTCTCTCTGTGTGTACGCACGCACGCACGCACGCGTGTGTGGGTTTGCGTGTGTGTGTGTGTGTGTGTGTGTATGTGTGTGTGTATGTGTATGTGTGTGTGTATAAATACCTAAAATTA